AAGCAATCTAAGATGGCTGCTACTTGTGCTGGGCTTGGAGATTCCCAGTCAAAGCCAAGCTGTGAAACTAATCTAGCTGCTGCTAGTGCCCACCCTGGAGCTCACTGAGACCAGCTGTTGCTTTTTATTATTTTGGAAGTTGTGCAGCATGAGCCAAGACCAACCACTCATTTGGAAAAGCAGGTTGGGTGGGCCCATAAATTGGTTGGGGCAGAGTCTCTGGGGATCTCTAAGGCAGGTCAGTGTTAGCCAGGTTGATGGAGTCTCAAATATGGCACCAGCCTGCTGGCTCCATGACTCTGAGGGGAAGGACTTGGAAAAGGGACAACGGCCACTGCTCGCCCCAATGCCAGACAGTTCAGCTTCTCCCTGTGTGCCACTGGTGCCCTTGAAGCTGCTACTCCAGCGCTGAAGCTCAGAGGGAGTGAGTCTGAGTAGGTGAGTCCATGCATGGGTTCTTTGAGAGGAACTGCTTGGGGCTCCAGAATTTTCTTCCCCTGGCTCAATCCCTGCTGGATTTTGTGGGGACTTATCCTCCTGGCACTGGAACCCTGGGATGTGGGCCTGGTGTGGGGCTGGGTCTGCTCATCCCTGAGATATCTCTCCCAAATTTTTATCCACCACATATGGATGAGAGACCAGCCCATTCCATGTCTGAGCCCACACCCCCTCCTACCAATCTTGATTGATGTGGTTTCTTTAATTTCGTAGTTGTCAGACTTCCATTCAACTCAATTTGTGATGGATCTGAGTGATGGTTATACTATATTTTACTTGCAATTTTGGTGCGGTTGTGCAAAGAGGTGAGGCACATCTGCCTATACCGCCATCTTGACTGGAAGCCCCTCATATATCTTTTTGAATTAGTGCTTTTGTTTTCTTTTGATAAATATCCAGAAGTGGAATTGCAGAATTATATGGTAGTTCTATATTTCAAAAATGAGGAAATTCCTTGTTTTTCACAGTGGCCATAGCAATTTACATTTCCACCAAAAGTACACAGGTTTCTCTTTCCTTCAAATCCTTACCAACACCAGCTATTTGTTGTTATTTGATAATAGCCATTCTAACAGATATGAGATGATATCTCATTGTAATTTTGATTTGCATTTCACTGATAATTAGTGATGTTAAGCATTTTTTTATGTGGCTGTTGTCCATCCATATGTCTTCTTTGGAAAAATTTCTGTTCAGGTCCTCTACCCATTATTTGAATCAAACTGTTTACTTCTGACTTATAAATATTGAGTTTTATGGGCTCTTTATATATTTTGAATATTAACCCCCCCTTACCAGGTATATTACTTACAAATGTTTTCTCCCATTCAGTAAGTTGCTTTCTGTTCTATTGATGGCTTCCTCTTTGTGCAGCAGCCTTTAAGTTTGAAGTAGTCCCATTGTTATGTTTACTAGGTAGCCTATGCCTGAGGAGAGACCCAAAATGATTATTTCTAAGAGCAACGTCAAAGAGATTAATGTCTATGTTTTCTTCTAAGAGTCTTATGGTTTCTGATCTTATATAAGTCTTTAATCCATTTTGCATTTGTGTGTGTGTGTGTGTATAGTGTAAGAAGTTATGCAGTTTTATTCTTTTGCATGTATGTAGCTGTCCAGTTTTCCCAACACCATTTGCTGAAGAGATTGTCATATCAAAAAAATTATTGCTGTGGCCCCTGTCAAACAGATTTTTTCCTATGTTTTCTTTTGGAGCTTTATAGTTTCAGTTTGTCATTTTTTTCTTCCTCTTCCTCTTCCCCTTCTTCCTCTTCTTCCTTTCCCTCTTCGTCATTGTCTTTTACAGAAATAAGTAACATAGTTGTTCACTGTCGTTATCAAGTATGTATACAATTGGCATTGCAGTAGGTTTGTTTACAACATCAGAACAGGTGAGTAATGTGTTGCACCATGACAACAAGTATGTATACAATTGGCATTGCAGTAGGTTTGTTTACAGCATCAGAACAGGTGAGTAATGTGTTGCACCATGACAACAAGTATGTATACAATTGGCATTGCAGTAGGTTTGTTTACAGCATCAGAACAGGTGAGTAATGTGTTGCACCATGACAACAAGTATGTATACAATTGGCATTGCAGTAGGTTTGTTTACAGCATCAGAACAGGTGAGTAATGTGTTGCACCATGACATTGTGATGTCTATAATATCACTAGGCAATAGGAATTTTTCAGTTCCACTATAACCTAATGAGATAACTGTTGTGTATGTGGTCCTTCATTGACTGGAACATCACCATATAACACATGAGTGTATACATATGTCCTAAAGTCAATACTGAAAAAGGAAAGGAAAAGTTATAACAGCCAATTTTTTTGATTGAAATACAGTGTACCTAAGATTATAATACCAATTTATACTGAAGTTTTATTCTTTATAATTTAAATATTTTATTGTTTGTTATTACAGTTGTCAAATTTTTCTCCCTTTGCCCCCTTCTCCCATTCCCATAGTCAATCTCCATACTGCTGTCCATGTCGATGGGTCATTCATATATGTTCTTTGACTAATCCCTTCATTTCCTTTCAACCAGTCACCCCTCCCCTCTTATAGCTGTCAGTCTGTTCCATATGTCCATGCTTCTGTTTCTATTTTGCTTGTTAGTTCATTTTGTTCATTAGAGTCCACTTATAAGTGAGATCATACAGCATTTGTCTTTTATCAACTGGCTTATTTCACTTACCATTCTAGTCCTCAGTACCATCCATGCTGTTGCAAATGGTAAGAATTCCTTCTTCTTTGCTGTTGTGTAGTATTCTATTGTGTAGTGTTCCATTGTGTAAATGTATCATAGCTCCTTTATCACTCACCTATTGACAGGCACTTAGGCTGTTTCCAAATCTTGGTTATTGTAAATATCCCTGCTATGAACATAGGAGTGCATAAATTCTTTTGAATTGGGGTTTCAGGATCTTTAGGGTGTATTCTCAACAGTGGATCTGCTAAGTCAAAAGGCAATTGCAATTTTTTTTTTTTAGGAAATTCCATACTGTTTTCCATAGTGGCTGCAGCAGTCTGCATTCCCACCAACAGTACACTAGGGTTCCCTTTTCTCCACATCCTTGCTAGTACTTGTTTGTTGATCTGTTAATGATAGCCATTTGGCAGGTATAAGGTGATATCTCATTGTGGTTTTATTCAGCACATTTTTGATGGCTAGTGATGATGAGCATTTTTTCATATGCCTATGGGCCACCTCTATGTCCTCTTTGGAGAAGTGTCTATTCAGGTCCTTTGCCCATTCTGTGATTAGATTGTTTGTCTTTCTGGTGTTGAGTCATATTAAGTTCTTTATATATTTTGGAGATTAAACCCTTGTCCAATGTATCATCAGCAAATATGTTCTCTCATAGAATGGGAGAACATATCTGTCTTGCTGATAGTTCTTTGGCTGTGCAGAAGCTATTTAATTTGATATAACCCTATTTATTTATTTTTTCCTTTGTTTCCCCAGCCCTAACACAGGTGCCCAATCTTTTGGCACCTCTGCGCCACACTGGAAGAAGACACAAAAGATTTCATGTTTTACGTAAATTTATGATTTTGTGTTGAGCCATATTCACAGCCATCCTGGGTTGCATGCAGCCCACAGGCCACAGGTTGATACCCCTGCCTAGGAGATATATCAGCAAAAATAGTGCTATGTGAGATATCTGAAATTTTATTATCTATGACTTCTTCCTGGATTTTTATGATATCACAACTTATATTTAAATCTTTTACACATTTTTATTTTATTCTGGTGTATGGTGTAAGATGGTGGTTCAGTTTCAGGTACCAGTCCAATTCTCCCAACATCATTTATTGAAGAGAGGATGTCTTTACTCTGTTGTATGCTCACGCCCCCTTTGTTGAATATTAATTAACCATAAAGATGTGGGTTTATTTCTGTGGGTTATATTCTGTACAATTGATCTTTGTGTCTATTCTAATGCTAGTACCAGATTGTTTTGATTATAGTGGCCTTATACTCTAGTTTGATATCTGATATTGTGATCCCACCAACATAGTCCTTCTTTTTCAAGATTGCTAGGGGTACTTGAAATCTCTTGTGGTGTCATATACATTTTTGGAATATTTGTTCTAATCTGTGAAATATGCCATTAGTATTTTAATATGAATTTCACTCAATAGATTGCTTTGGATAGTATGGACATTTTAATGATAATTCTTCCAATACATGAACCCAATATATGCTTTCACTTTTTGGAACTTCCTAAATTTCTTTTTTCGGTGTCCTATAATTTTCCAAATATAGGTCTTTTACTTACTTGTTTAAATTTATTCCTAGGTACATTACTTTTTTGTTGCTGCAATAGTAAATGGGACCGTTTTCTTAGTTTCTCTTCTGATTGTTCATTATTGGTGTATAAAAATGCCATCAATTTCTGAATATTGACTTTGTATTCTGCTAGTTTTCTGAATTCATTTATTAGAACAAGTAGTTTTTTGGGGGAGCCCATGGGACTTTTTTTGTACAATATCATGTTATCTGAGAATGATGACAGTTTGATTTCCTCCTTTCAATTTGGATGCCTTTAACTTTCCTTTATGTGTGATCGCTGAGGCTAGGACTTACATCACTGTCAAACCAGAGTGTTGAAAGCAGACACCTGTGTATTGTTCCTGATCTCAAGAGAAACATGTTTAGTGTTTGCCCATTAAGTAAGATGTTGACAGTATGTTTATATATGGCCTTTATTATATTAAGGTATGCTCCCTCTATCCTACTTTGCTGAATGGAATGAATTTATTTATCATAGATGGGTGCTGAATTTTATCAAATACTTTACTGCTTCTATTAATATGATCATGTGATTTTTTGTCTTTCATTTTGCTTATGTGATGTATCACATTTATCGATTTGCTCCTCCATCCTCCAGTGTAATAACAAAGCTTAAAATAATCATTTAAACATTTGAGATGATGAACAGATGCTGAACTTGGTGTGATCCTAAGAATTCTTGATGATTAAATGTCTTTAAGCATTTACAATTATCTTAACATAAATGCTTAAAGATAATCACTGGATGTGAAAAATAAGTCCTCTTTTGCAACCCAGAACTCATTGTCAGTATGAGTTTTGATACATACGAGATGGAACATGATACAAAAAAAAAAGATATTCACTGGAAATTATGATAAGATATTTACTTCACTGGAAAATAATGATAATTAAAGATATTCTGTTAGGAAATTATGATGAGTACTGTAATATATTGTCATATGAGAATGTGTTTACATTCAATAAGGACATTGCCATGATTAGGCTGAGAGACTTTAAGCATCAAAAATTCATTCATACACTTAACAGATTTTTATGGAATGCTTACTTTGTGGCAGGCAGTATTTTAAGCCTTGAAATATATACAAAGTGAGTGGAAACCTACTCTCAAACTCCCTTATCCCAAACAGCTTTCATTCTAGAAAAGCAGGAAGATCCACAGTACCTCCTTTATTGAGAAATGTCCTTTCTTAAGCACCAAATCAGGATTTTCATGTTTTCTTTTCTTTCTTATAGCAGGCCACAGGGACTTATTCTCTTTCCATTCCTCTCATTAGCTATCCCATTCCATTCAGTCTGGCTAAAGAAAAAAAGAAATTATTGTATCTCCAATGCCCCTTTTCTTATGTCTTGAATGTAAATATTCTATACTCTTTTTAAGTCTTGGGATTTTGGTGGTATTAAACATGGAAGAGGGGGCTGTAAGCATGGTTTTTTAGGAAGACAACACTAACCACTTAAACAAACTTCAAAATGCTAGTGGTTCCTTTCTTGCTCATGTAATAAACTAGTAGCTCCTAAGAGCAGATGCCTTTCTTCCAAGGACTGATTCTGAGATCTAGGCTCTTCTCACATAGTGGCTCTAAAATCTACAACCATTTGGCTTCATGTCACTGTGCTTCTTTACCTTGGTTGGGTAGAAAGGGAAAGAATACTTAGCATGATGTATAGGACGTTTCCATGAGTCAGGATTGTAAGTGACGCATATAATATCTACTCATATTCTAGCTTCTAGAATTTAGAAGCTAGAACTGGTCTACTAAGTATTTTAGTCTATAGCCATGCCTCCCTGCAAGAGAGTCTGCAAAATAGAGTTTATATATATGGTCAGCAAAAAAAAAAAAAAAGGAAAAACCTTCTGTAATGAGGTAGCCACCCTCTGCTATAACTAATGAGGATTCTAGGATTCTAAAATATTTCTAAGATTACTTATAGTAGTATTACTTATAAATCTTTATAGTTATGACTCTACTTAAATAAAATTTCCATGAGGTCAGTGATTCCATTAGTCTTCTTATATAACCCAGCACATAAAGGTGATCAGTGAATGAATTGTGCATAAAAGAAAAAAATTTAAAAAAATTATTTTTGACTAATGTGAACAATTGGCCTTTATAATTTTTGACAGCATAATAGCACTTTAAATCACACTATAGTTAGTTGTCTATTTTTCTACTTATTTTAAGGAGACAATAAAATACTTGGAAAAAATAAAGTAAAAAATAAATTAATTATATATCTAGTCACCAAAAGATAGTACACCCAGTTCTTTTCTTAACCTCTTCTACCTAAGTTATAAAGGAACAAGAACACCAACACAATCATTATACAGTAATTGAATGTATTCCCTATACTAAGAGGTTCAAAATATGATCTCGATCAAATAGGAGAAGTTCCTGTGGTTGGTTGTTAGAGTGATTTATAGCAAGTTTGGTTTAGCAGAGCTGTGGCTCTGATAAAAGACTGTGCATGTAGATCCAGCTAGCTATCCTTTACTCTTTGCTGCCACCCCAAACCTGGAGACAGATCTTGGATCATCACTTCTAATAAGTGCATTGAAATGTAAATCACAGTTTTATATTATCAACACTGTCAAAAAGAAAAAGGAAAAAGCTTGCTCACCCAGGGGATAGCGCCTCGCATCCCTTGCATACTAGAAGAAAGATAGATTTGTCTATCAAGAATGACAACACAATTTGAAGAGTGACATAATAGAGGTAGATACAAATTATAATGATTTGGTAGGGAAAAGAATAATAAACTGTCTTGTGAGCTGAGGAAACCTGTCCAGAGAAACTGCCCTTAGAGTTGAAGTTTGCCATGTGAAGCGAAAGCAGGAGGCAAAATGATATCAAGACTACTTGCAAACATTTAGAGGACAAGTTGAGCAGTATATGTAGCCAGGGTATGGAGTGAGGGTTGGTAGGAGAAACCAATAAAAAGAAGGTTGAGGTGATATGCTGAAGGGCCTTTGGTGTTATGTAAAAATAGTTATATGTTTTATTCATTGACAGGGATAAAAGATAGTGGTTTGGAAGGGTCAAGCTAATTATAGCTGTTTTGACACAGAAGATGTTTTTATGTGTTGAAACTTAAAAGTCATTGACTTTTATAACCACATAATAGGTGCAACAGACATTACTGGCTTACTCTCATTCTGATTCCTATGGCCAGGGTATGCTGGAAATGCAGGACCCTGCATTAGAGCATTAGAGGTGGGATGAGGGGGAGGATACAGTTTACGAGTGAGGATGAGGAGAGAGTGACACTCAGGGATGGTGCAGGATGTCTGCTCTGCACGTTACTTGTTGAAAAAGAAAGAAGTATAAGTAGACAAGTGCCCTGTTAAAACAGCCTCAATTAACCATTCTGTACCTTCCAGGAAATATAAAAAATTGTTTTTAAACAAAATGTTTTCTTAGGCAAAGTACCAAAATATAATGAATTGCCTCTAATAGGAAGGGATGCTTAAAGATAAACAGACCAATACATTGAGATCACTGGGATCTAGAGCCTAGATATTTCAACATGTATTTAATAAATGAATACCTGAAAATACAAAATAGTTGCTAACAGTTATGACTGCCTTAGGAGATACTGGGTCTCAGAAATGAAATTATTCAAACTTAAGCCTCAAAGATATTATGGAAAAGAATTCCAGTAACTTGAGTCACAAATTATTTATGGATTCTTCTAAACTCCAGATTCAAAAATTGTAATAAACATAGCCTCAGCTCAAATTTATAATAAGCATTTCATGAGAATCCATACCGAGTAGGGCAGATAGCCCTTTCTAAAACAGAGGTTTCATGATAACACCAAGACATACATTGAAGAAACTCACTCACCCATAGTTCATTTGATATTTGTTCAAAAATACCTATTAAGTACCTATTACGTGCCAGTCATTGACTGTCAGTATTGATGCTATTTTTTGGAGTAAGTTCAATAAAATTCCACATAGGAATTATATATTATTGAAAGATTAAACAATAAATAAATAATCAAATACATAAAAACTTGCCAACTTATCATGACTTCTATTTTTAAAAAAGCATAGAGAGAGGAACAAAATAATGAAGCTATTGATGACTTTTGATAGAGTAAAATAATTCTGTGAGGAAGAAGGTATCTGAGCAAAGATCTAAATGAAGCAATAGAGCAAATCAAGAAAAAGATATAAAGGAAAAGTTTTCCATGCTGAAGGTAGAGAAAATATATATGCCCTGAAGAAACAAACAACTTTACATGTTTTAAAAGCAGTAACAATAAAAGTGTGGGAGGAGCAGAATGATTTAGGAAAAGTGTTGTGGGGAATATATTCAAAGAGAAGGTAGGAAAAAATTATGTAGGGCCTTAAAGACCATGATAAGGAGTTAGGATTTTAATTTTTGTACACAAATCTTTAAAGGATTTGAGCTAAAAATAATATCTTATGTGCATATTTTCAAAATATGGTGGCTGCTATGTGAAGCATAGACACTAGGAGAAAAACATTCAAGTGAACAAACAGAAGTCTTCAGTCTTCCGTACATGATGAATATGACTTAAACTAGCCATGTTTAATATTTTTTTTACATTGTGAAGGTTGCTCTTCCATGATTTTTTTTTTTTTTTTTTTTTTTGGTTTGGATCGGCTGTGGAATTGTAGGAAGAAGAAAAATCATAAACAAATTCTGGAGTTGTGATCTATAAAAAGTGGGTAACTGTGGCAACATTTACCAAATGGGAATACCACATGAAGAAAGTTTTTTGTTTCTTATTTGGCAAGTGTAGCTTAATCGATACTTTTATTTCTGTTAATTTTGAGAAGCTTATTAAGTACCCAAGTGGAAATGTTGACGGTGTAATTTGTTCTCTTACTCTGGATCTCAGGAGAAAAGTCAGGGCTGTAATTATTAATTTTGGTGTCCTTCCATGTAGATTCCATTTCAACCATGAGACATAATGGGATTATCTAGAGTGGCAATTTGGGAAAAGAGTGACTTCTGTGGGAGGAAATGAAAATAATGAAGCCAATGAGGTAAGAGAAAAATGAGATGAATATGAAATCTTGAAAGCCAACTGAGGAAGTGAGAGTACTTGCTTTCTCAAATCATACAGAAATATCAAGAAATATGATTAACTTTTTTGCTAGACTGGTCCTAACATGCTGACCAGAAAATACCCATGCACAATTCAGCATGTTCACATTGTTTAACATTACAGAGTCCTCTGTCTCTCATCACTACAACTGTGAATCTCATAGTGCCCACTTTCTCAAGGCTCTGGATATTACCAAAATATTTAATTTTTCACAACCTGATTTCATCCACCTCCTAGGTCCACCATTCTTAAAATTCACAAGTGTTTTATTATAAGCATCTATAAAATTCTTATGGCAGTTATCCCCTTCCTAAAACATATTTATGTTTAAAAATTTGTATATATTCAAATACAACAGAATAAAACTGAATCTTTCCAGATGTGATTATACAATGAAGCATTTAAAACTGGTTTGAACCATATTATTAAGGGTCTTGAATTTCAGGGTGAGGTTTTAGAAATGGTTGTTTTCTATGCAATCTGAGCTTTAGAGAAATCATCTGGCCATAAAGTAAGAGTAAATTTGAAATAGGAAACACTATAGATAACAAATTATTTGATTATTCTAAATTTTTAAAGTCTGAAAACCTGATTTGGGTTTGAAGAGAAGGCATAATATATGTAGGAAGATGTGCAGCAGAAGTTAAGATCGTACAACTCCTATTCAGTAGGTTGTTTGAAAATATAGAAATACATTAGAGACTTCCAGGCAGAGAAAGTGCTTAAAATATTGAAGA